CAGCTCCAGGTCCCTGCTGTGATTGCCCTGGTCTTCTGTTGCCTTTCCTCTCTTGGGGAGGAGGGCAGTGCAGGGCCAGCTTCAAATCTCTTGGACTGTGTTTGTCCCTGCCTTAGTCAAGGTCTTCAAGAAGAGACCTGAGCCCCTCAATCTCCCACCGGTTCCAAATCTTTTGCTCCGCTCTCCCCAGGCTACTGTGCGTTACAACACCATCCTGACCCGAAATAACGAGCTCCGGGAGGAGACCCGAAGCCTGAAAATCCAGAAAGCCGTTTTTGACAACTACTACTGGAAGTATGACAGGCAGCTGACTCAGCAGAATAGACTGTTGAACTCTGCTGTTGAACTCGCCACAGAAGACTACGAGCAGTGGTACGTGACCCTGCCAGCCCTGAGGGGAAAACTTGGTGCTGACGGGCAATGCCAGTGACGAGTATTGATGTTGAGACCAACTGCTCTCATCCAGAGCTGGGTGCTGAGGGTTGGGTGCCTGGTCAGTGCAGGGAGATTGGTACCTCCACGGTGTTTTATTCCACCGATCCCAGATGTTTCTCAGGATGGGGTGAATTGCCCCATGGAGGAGTCTCTTCCTTCTGAGTCCCACCTGAGCTGGGCACGATGCTCGAGTGCCAAACCCCACCAAGAGCTGTGTTCTGTGTTTGTTTGCTGCTGGCCTTGGACTAACACCACTACATCCAGATGAGAGCCAGGAACAGGCACAGCATCACGGGGCCTTTGCTAGATCAGGCACAGGGATGCATGGGAATGGCCAGGAACACAAAGCACGGAGTGACTGCTGCTCTCTGTGCGCAGGATGGAGTATCTCTCGAAGATCTCGGACATTAGGGAAGCACGCATCAGAGACACCATCCAGTTCAACATCAAGATGCTGGACCTGAAGTGTGCCCTTCAGCAGGAGATCAGACTGAAAAATTTCTTTGTCACCAAATGTACAGATCTCTCTGAATTGAAGGAAAAGGCCAAACAGAGAGAAGGTATCAGAGGAGGGAGCATGTGTGTAACTGGGACCACAAACCCAAAGTCCACAGAGTTGGCGGGGGACTGGTTATGGTGGTTTATAGCACCTCTGCCTTGCCTGCAGGCTCCCTAACCCAACCTTCACCCTACAAGGGAAAAGGCTAAACAGTGATAACTGAGACCACCCAGCACTGAGTGCCTTGGGGTGCCCTTGGGAACCTGCTCCTCTTGCAGCCATGGCTCCCTTTGTCATGTTTTGGGTTAGTTTGGGTTAGAAGGGACCTTAAAGCCCACCTCATTCCACCCCCTGCCATGGTCAGGGATATCTTCCACCAGCCTAGGTTGCTCCAAGCCCCGTCCAACCTGGCCTTGAACACTTCCAGGAAAGAGGCATCCACAGCTTCTCTGGGCAACCTGTACCAGGGCCTCCCCACTCTCACAGGGAAGAATTTCTTCCTAACATCTAATCTAATCTAAGATAATCTAATCTAATGTACTTATTTTATCCTCCTGGTAAGGTGTCCCACTGTGTTTGCTCCATTCCCTTGAGAACATTGAGCTCCCTGCTTAGTTTCTCTGTAAAATAAAGGCACTCTCTGCCCCTCTGGGGAGCACCACACCAAACCCCACAGCACTGCAGGGAGGGACAACGGGGCTCTCTGTCTCTCCCAGCTTTGAAGGCAGCTGAGTGGGCGAAGCAGAGCCAGGCAGAGAGTTATGAGGTGGCTTACAAGCGCCTGCTGGAGCTGTCGGACGGAGAGATCGACCAGCTCTTGGATGAGTTCGTGGAAAAGAACAGGAGATTCTTCATCCTCTTTGCCTATGCCATTAGGCTGAACGTCCGGAATGAGGGCATGAGACAGAGGATCAAGGCCATCCAGGTCTGTTCCAGGCTCTTCATGTCTCCCCTTTCCATGCAGTGCTTTTGGCCTGGGGTGGGTTTGTCCTCTCCCGAGTGTCTGGCATCACTGCCCACACCAGAGCCTGGCTCACAGGCACACGGGTGGGATTTGGGGGATGCGAAGGAGTAGCCAAAAATGCAATTCCCAACGCTGTGTTGTCAGAACTAAACGTGTCTCAATGCTGCCACCGTGTACCCAGGAAAAATACTGCAGTATCCAGGACAGCCAAGAGCTTCCTTGAAGTGTGTGGCACTGGCTGGAATGAAAAGTGGGGTCATCCATCCCCTGCCCTCCTGGCCTGGGGACAGCGGTCCCCAGAGGAGTCCAGAGGGATGTCCCTGATCCCAGGGCAGAGGGGTGTCCCCAGCCTCTGTTTGACATGTCTGGTGGGCATTCCATCAGCATCCCTTCCATGTGCTTGTGTTTACACAGGATGATATGACAGCCACCATGCAGGAGCGGGAAGAGGAGGAGACAACCCGGTTTCATGTCATGCAGGAGCTGGAGGTATGGCAGCCATGCATTCCCTCTGGAAGGGCTGCAGATCCCTCTCTGTCCCGGTACTTGTCCCAGGAAGTCTGGTCCTGTCAGCGCTGCTCTGGCAAGTGGCTGGAGAGGTGTGGGCAGAAAAGGGCCCTGCAAAGGTTTTGGCAGCTCCCAGTGCATGGTGAGAGGGTGACAGTGGGGCTCCTACCAGCCCTGGTCTGGCATGGGGAGTTTGGAATCCCCTTCACAGACCTTCTTCCCTGCAGGGATGGGAGCATCCCACAGCCTTTCCTGGAATGTCTTCTTTAGTTTGTATTTAAAGAGTACTGTGTGGGTGGCCAAGCACTGGATCAGACTGTCCACAGAGTGTGTGGAGTCTCCCTCACAGAACCACCTGGATGCAATCCTGTGTGATGTGCTCTAGGATGAGCGGGAAGGTTGGACCAGATGACCCACTGTGGTCCCTTCCAACCTGACCCATTCTGTGATTCTGTGACTCTGTCTCCAATGTCCAGATTGAAACTGGGCAGCACCGGGGTGGTGGGATCAGTGAGGAGCTGGTGTGACACCTGCCAAAACCTTTGTTGATAGGCAAAATTAACAGAAACCATTGAGGAAGCCAACAAGTATGAAGCCAAATGCAAAGAGAGCAGCAAACTCCTGGGACAGCTTCAATCCCGCATAGAGACCCTCTTGAAAGACATTGACTGTGACACCACAAAGTTAGTGAAGCCGCTCGGGAGCAGCTTGCTGCCACTTTTTGGTAAGCCTGCCTTCCCACACCACACGGCCTGAGCTGTGTGTGTCCACCACCCTCTGTGTTTTAATTGAGCTGGTTTTTTCCCTCTGCCCCATCAGGCAAGGTGTCCCCAGGGTGAATTTGCAGCACCAAATTCCCAGCGAATTCAGGAGCCAACTCAGCTGTATAAACATCCCAGTGGACCCCCAAAACCCTCATCTTGTCTCTGGGCATTGTAGAGAGGTGGGGGTCAGCCTCTTCTCCCAGGCAGTTGGCAACAGGACAAGGGGAATTGCATGAAGGGAGGTTCAGGCTGGATATTAGGAAAAATTTCTTCACTGACAGAGTGGTCAAGTGTTGAAACAGACTCCCCAGGGAACCATCCTTGAAGTGTTCCAAAAACAAGTGAATGTGGCACTTTGTGATATGGTTTAGTAGGCATGGGGGTATTCAGTTGAAGGTTAGACTTGATGATCTTGGAGGTCTTTTCCAACCTTAGTGATTCTGTGATTCTATGATTCCATGACCTAGCCCTGGTCCCTTGCCCCTGGGGAGTCAGGCTGCCCACTGACGCTGCCTCGGGGAAGCCAATGGATCCCCTGCGCTGCAAAGGCCAGGGGTGGGTTTGGGCAGGGTCCTGGTGCAGGATCTCGGTGCAGGGACCCTGTGGGATGCTGCTCCTTCCCACCCAGGTCCTGTGGAGGAGAAGGTCGATGAGTTCCTGGTGCTGGAGTCCCTCCTGCGCTACACGTCAGTCGACCGCGCGCACCGGTCGCAGTCCTTCATCAGCCCCATGAGCGGAAACTCGGGGCTCCTCTGGGTGATGGATCGGAACAAGCTCTGCCCGCCGCCCCCCGACCCGGACAGCACTGACCCCGGCACTGGTGAGCACGGGAGGAGGGAGGGAAGGGCCGTGGCCGGGCAGCAGCCGTTCCCCAATTCCCCCGTGGCCAACCCCTGCATCCTCACACACACATCCACACACATCCTCCCCAGTCAATCCAACCAGCCCATCCTGCCCCACTGGGTATATAAAGCTCGTGATACCATGGGGTGGCCATTCTCTTGGGCAGCGGAAGAGCCGCTGGACAAGGACCAGCTGCGTCAGATGGTTATCAAGAGGCACGAGGAGGAGGCGGCCAAGCCCCCCAGCACAGGCAAGAAGAGGAGGAGATCCCCATCAAAGAGCCCAGCACGGGCGAAGTAAAGAAGCAGTTTCATTCTTGAACTTCTGTGTCCTGGACATCATTCCGTCTTCCCTCTCTGGAAGGAGCCCAACACCTTCCGCAGCCTGCAAAAGCTCACGAGGTGGTATTTTGGCCAGGCTTCACCCACTGCTGACAGACCCACAGCCATGGTCAGGATCAGCTGCTCTATGTCGGGGTGACATCCCTGTCACACAGCCCAGTGTGCTTCCTGCAGCTGGGTTTGGGGACCACCGTCCTGCTCCTGCACCATGCCTGCCCGAGGAGCCCAGGATGCAGGGGGGTGACTGTGCTTGCAGGGTGTTCCCTGCCAAGCTGGTAACTCTCTGCTGCCTAAAGTAAATCTGAGCTCAGTGCTGGTCCTGGGCTGACGGGACCAGATGGGATGGCCAGAGCCCAGTGTGGAATGGGCTGTGGGGTGGGAGCGGGGAGACAGCAAGGCAGAGGGATTCGAGGGCTCACGAGGGTGATGTGCAGTAGGGCTGGGAGTCTGGGGGCAGTGGGGTCTGGGAGGGGTCCTGTGGGGCACAGACACACCGTGCAGACACACTACACGTGCCCAAGCACTGCTCATGCCAGCAGGTTCATTTCCTCTTGCCAAAAGGCAGTTTAATGTGGATGCCATTCCTGTGCCAAATTCCCAGGCACATGCCTCTCCAGGGGAAGAGGAAAGGGAAACCCCGTGTGATCTGGGGAGAGGTGATCTCCCAGTGGCAGCCCCAGCCCTGAGCGTGGGCTAGTCCTTCTCTTCGCCGTGTGTGATGACATGGACCAGGTTCTTGTAATCCAGGTTGCCCGACATGTCTGGAGGGAAGGCTGCAAACATCTGGTCGATCTGCCAGGGAAGAGCCAGGTTGAAAATGTGGCACAGAAGGGGTTTGGGACCAGGGCTGGGAGAAGGGATGGGGTCTGTTGGGATGAATGGCACAGGAGGCTGGTAGAGGGTGGGAAGCAGCTCATACCTCTTCCTGGGAAAACCTCTCGCCCTGCGTCATCAGCATTTCTTTGATGCTGCAAACAAGAGGGTGTGGTAAGCACTGGGGAGGTCTTGGTGGGGACACCCCCTCCTAACCCCCTGCCCCAGATACCCTTGCACTCACTAGGCAGATTTCAGGCCTTTTCCCTCTGGATCAAACACCTTGAATGCGTTCAGGATCGTCTCCTCCGGGTCGGCACCTGCAGGTGACACAGCCATGGCCATTGGAGGTGGCAAAGCAGGAATCCTCCTGCTTCCCCCAGCTTTCGTAGGGGGAAGCAGGGTCCCTGCAGGAATGCTGACCCTGCAACTGGACACTTGAGTGCGGGTGGTGGCACGTAAAGGAGCGGACGCAGGGTGGTGGTGTGAGCACAAAGCAGGCTGTGTCGCCACCGCTCCGGCATCCGGCATTTATCTAATCTTTGGAGTGTATTTATAGAGCTCCAGGCTCAGCCCTTGGGGCCCTGTAGCCTCCTGGAGATCTGCAGGAGGCTGCATTCCTTGGGTAAAGTACATGATACAGGGTGCAGCTGGATGGGACAATGGGTCAGAGTGTGGCTGGTAGCCAGGGTGGCCACTGGTGCCACTGCTGGTGTCAGAACGCTCAGAGGTACTGCAAGAACTCCTGTCCCCCCCTTCCTGTGGGGACAGCAGCATCACAGCCATTTGAGTTTTGTAAATGGCTGGGGAAACTGAGGCACAGAGACCATGTCATACCCCCCCAACGGGTATGAGATGGAGTGAGATCCGCACCCTTCAAAGAGCCTTTGACAGGTCTCACTTGGAAGGGTTTGGAGTCCCAGGAGCTGGGTGGCTTGCCCAGGTGGGACAGGATGTTGGTGACGGTGTGGGTGCCCACCAACCACCCCCCAGCTCCCTGGATGCCCACTGACCACCCCTCCAGCTCCCCAAACTCACCCTTGAGTTTCTCCCCAAACATAGTGAGGAACACGGTGAAGTTGATCGGACCAGGGGCCTCCTTTATCATCTCATCAATCTCCTCATTTTTCACATTCAGGCGCCCTGGGGAGAGCCATGTTGGAACAATTCCATGTCCATGTTTGGCTACTCTGCTCTGTGTGCTGGGGGCTAAAACACACCGTGGGATCCTTCCTGTGGGGGATTTCCCCCACCCGAGGGAAGCAGCACATCCCTGGGGAGCCACCTCTGACAAGGAACAGCAGTAGCAGGAGCGAGGTGGGGGAACCATCTCCAGCTCTGGTTCCTCGGGCTCCAGGATCACAGAAAAGAGTGATGCTGTGCTGCTTCCTTCCCTCACTGCCCCAAGGATCAGCCTGCTTCAGCCCTCCTCAGGAGGTGTTTTGGGTCAAAACCACCACCATTGGGGTTTCCTCTGGTCTCCAGTGCCAGAGGGTAATGGGACTGAGTGCCTCCATCCTTTTTCCTGGGGCTGGGTTGTCCCTGGGACTCCCTGGCCCCATTGCTGATTCATGGTGACCTCCCTGATGGGAGAGCCAAGCTCACAACGTCACAGTCTCTCCCAGATCCCGTAAATCCCCTTAATGCCTGCACACCCCGGGATGCCATGGGATGGGCACAGCCAGGTGCTTCTAAGCATGGGAAAAGGCATTTGGCTCAGTGTAATCCAGGAGCTGGCTCTAGTACTGATGGGATAAACCAGCGCTGCTGTGGGAGCTGCTCTGGGTCACCCGCGTGGAATCTCACGGGCTAACAGGCCTGGGTTTGGATCAGGAGGGTTTTGGCAAAACGGGAGATCCAGTCAATGATAGGGGCTTGGTTACTGGGGGGGTCCCCCCTCGTTTATCACTTAATAGGTGTAATGTTGGCAAAGCTGTTGGGGAGGGGAGGGTGCTGAACAGGGGCTCACCGAGGGCAGCAAATGTGTCTCTCAGATCCGCCTTGTCAATGAAGCCATCCCGGTTCTGATCCATGATGGTGAATGCCTGGAAGCACAGGAGGAGGGAGCACAGGGAGAGGGAGAATTGTTGGCCTTTGCAAAGGCTTTAGTGCTCTACTCCTCCTCCCTTCAACTTGGATGGGACAAGGGCCCTTTGAGCCCTCCCAGGGTGGGGCTCTGGGAGTCCTCACCCAGTGAGGGAGCAACAACCCACCCTAATCCCTAATCCAGCAGCAATCCTGGTCCTTGCAGCCTCAGGCGGTGGCAGACCAATGACAGAAGCCAGCCTGAATCATCAGCTCCCCAGCTGGGTCCGGTTATCCCTGGAACTGAAATCTACACAGGACCAAGTGCCTGCTGTGCAGAGGGTAAGAGCTCCTGGCACTGCAGGTGGGAGTTAGCTGGGAGATGTGCTCCGGCTCTCCGGGATGCTGCCGGCTGCTCTGTGGGGTGCAGGTTCCTTGGAAGCTTGGAGGCAATGCCATATCTAACAACGTCACTGAGCTGTTATTCTCACTTTTAAAATAAAGCGACCCAAAAACCGGGTGTGCTGCCTCTTGCTGAGAACCAGCTGTCCCTGATCCGAGAGCACCAAGGAAAAAGCTGAAGGTCATATCATATCAAGGACCCTCAGTCCTTCCCACCAAACCCACCTACCTCTTTGAATTCCTGGATCTGGGCCTGCTCGAACATGGAGAAGACATTGGAATTAGCACCTTCAATCCTCTTCTTGGCTTTCTTGGGTGCCTGCAGGGGTTCAAGAATGTATCATTAACTCACTGGCTTTTTTTGGGGTGGAATAAAAGCATGAAATTGCCCTTAGTCGTGACTCCTTCGTGGTAGCTCTGGGCTGGGACTCTTCCCTGGGGGCTTGCTGCTTTCCCCCTGAAGCTCTGGGATACGGAGGGGCATTAACATTCCTGCTTAAATTACAGCTCCTGGTGAATTTAGCCAAATATGTTCAAGGAAAGATGAGGCGGGAAATCACTTCTCCCAGTCACAGGTGAAAGGCTTGGCACCAGGGCGAGATATCCCTTTTGGAACCCCGGCTTTGGGAGTGGTGCTGAGGTTGCACAAGGGCTGTAGTCATTAGGTGCTTCCTCACCCTGCTGTGCACTTATTAAAGTATTTGCTTAATAAAAAATTCTGCCTTCTCCTGCACTGAGGCTTGAAACAACCAGAAACGGCTCAATGTGTGTTGTAAAGAAGAGTGAAGGACAGAGCCCCTCACTGTCCCACCCTGCCCATCATCCCTCATTCCAGTGTCTGCTCCAGCAGCCGTTCCCTCTTACTGGAGGGGTCTGCCAAGAGGAGGGAGAGCAGGAGGGCTTTTGGGGCCACAACCGCCCTTCCTCTCGCTGCATGGAGGAAGGGAAAGGACCAAAATGGCATTTGGACCCCCAAAAGGTCTGCCCCAGTTAGAAAGCTCTGCTAGCACGGGATACACCTCTCTGTTCCCTATGGGGTGCTGCTGATCCAGCCAGATGCTTCTCAGTTTGCTCACCCCCTTTCCAGGGCAGGAGAGACCCTTGACCCTCAGATCCCTGTTGCCTCCGTCACTCCCTTCCCATTCAATCTATCCTGGTGGAAAATCTAGTGGATTTTCTCTCTCCCCACTGGAGCTTTGGGCTCTCAGTACTCACCATGGCCTCGCAGGGCTGCCGATGTCGCAGTGAGGGGTGTCCTGGAGGCAGTCGCTCACTCCCCCCGGCTCAAACAATAAATACCCCCCCTCTGGGTTAAAAATAGCCCCATGCCCACTTTTGGCTGTAATAGGTGAGTTGGCCGCCCCCAACCCTGTTGTCTCTGCCTTTCTCTGGCCCTCCCTCTCTCTAATCTGGAATAGCAGCTTGTTGTTGTCACCGGCTGACGTGACATGTGAGCCCTGGAGGGTTTCAAGGTTAACCAAGTGCCAGGCGGCCCCCGGCTCCCACCCTGGGGATGCTGACCCCGGACTGCACGGGAGCAGCCCCACCTGCCTTTGTCACTCGGGCTGGGGCTGGGCTTGTCCCCTCTGTTGGGACATGCAGGGAGGGCCTGGCCCCAGGGGACTCCCAGCTACAATCCTGCAAGCGTTGTGGAGTTTTCCCTCAGTCCTGTCAGGCATCTTTGGGATACTTGGTGCCCCATTGCAGCATTGGCATGGCAAAGCTGGGCTCTGCTCAGCTGCTGGAGGTGGAGGAGCCCCCCTGCCCTGGAATGCCTTCGCTTGGGATGCTCCAAGAGCAGGAGCAGCTGCCTGGTCACTCCGTCTGTGGCCGAACAGGGACCTTCCTGCTGCAGCCCTGTCCGGGATGAGGCCAGAGGTGGATGCTGAGCTCTCACAAAGCCGGGCAGGCACCAAGGGCTCCTCTCTCAAGTGTCACCCCCCACTGAGGCACCTGTCACCCAGTTAAGCCAAACACTTGCTCACCCTGGTCCCAGAGACACACACATTTAACTCTCCCCATCCTGGGCTCTGTCCCAGGGACACATCTTGCAGCACCCGGGAGTGATGGCACTCACACCGCCTGGATGCCATGACTGACCAGCTGGACATGGCACAGCCACCCTGGCCGTGGCACAACCGCCCTGTCCAGAGGCTGCATTTCTGCAGCAGGAGCCATGGAACCCATGGTAGGTAGGCAGCAATCCCACAAAACCTCTTCCATGTGAACTGCTCTCATGGAGCAGGATCGATGGCTGCCGGGACTGGGCTATTTGGTGGTTCCCTTTTGTCTTCAGTATTTTTAGCCTGTTTATTTTATCTCCCCTCCCTCTTGCCTTGCCCGTGATGAGGCTGGAGGTGGATGAGTGGGAATGCTGGGGTGGGAATGGTGCTGGCAGCCCAACAATGCCCATCAGCCCCCCAAGCTGTGTGGGGCCTGGCATGGCCATGACCCAGTGGCTGGCACAGGGGGCTGCCAGCCTCGCTCCTGGCATCATCCCCTCTGCATGCCGAGGAGGTTGGAGGTCTGGGACAAGGCTGGGAACAAAAGGCACTGTGAAACCAGATCCCCAGAGCTCCAGGCTCTGCCCAGACGCTGCCCTTGTTCTCCCAGAGGACACAAATATCGTGTTTAATCCCTGGCACTCGCTGCTCTGTCTCACCTCGCTGCCCGGCTGCTGCAGCCGAGCCAGCAAGGATGGCATTACAGGGAGGATTTCTGTAGGCAGCAGGGAAACATGTTGGGAAAAGTGCCTGGAGAGGAGAAAACTCCTGATCCCGGAATGATTGCCTCATCTGGATGGAGCTGCAGCTCACGGAAGGGATTTCAGGGTGTGGTTTGGGGTCTGCGTGAGCAAAAGGGCAGGAGAGAGAACCGCGGGGGCAGAGCTGGGGCCAGGACCGGCCCCGGGCACAGCCAGAGATGAGGGGGATCAATCTCAGCACGGTCGCTCCCTCCTCCTGACAAGTTCAGTTGGATTCATCAGCCAGCCGAGCCCAATTACCTTAATTTGTGGCATTAAGGAAAAATCCATAAGCATCAGGGAAGTGATGTGTGGTGGTTTAACGGGACCGGTTGGCCACGGAGCCGCCGGCGCCGCCTGGGCGCTCCCGTCCCCGGCTCCATGTACGTGCTGGGCATGGCTGGCGGCGCAGGAGGCATTCCTGGAGCCGTGGAGATCTCCCAGAATATGAGTTTTTTGGGGAATAAGCATTTCTGCCTGCCCAGCCTGGAAGAGGCCAGACCTGGGTCTCTCCCCAGTGTTGCCCAGGTTGTAATTGGGATGAGATGGTGACTGGGGGCTTTAAGGGATCGGTGGTGCCGAAGGGGCACAGAAATCTGGGATGGGATGGGGTGCAGGTGGCTGCCTGGATTTCTGTTGAAGTTTGTAAGACAGTGCCTCTGCTCCACTGCTCGCTTCTTGCTGTCAGCTGCAATCCTCTGTGCTGCACGGGCCAGATCCTGCTCCCCACAAGGATTCCAGTCCATCCTATGGACGGAGGCACCTCCAGGAGTTGTATGTATCCTTTTCCCACTGTGGATATCAGGGGGCTTATTGGCACCCAGGAAAACCTGAGTGCTTTAAATATGTCTGTATGTCCATATGTGCCTCTGGAGCCCTGTAGTGAACAAAAGAGCTGTGGGAAGTGGCTGCAGCCCGTGAATGGATGTCAGGGAATAACACACATATCCGTGCCACGGCAGAATCAAGCATCGTCCCTTCTTATCTGCAAAAGAGCCTGTGTTTTACATGAAAAAGCCTTTCTAATTAATAGGCCAGCCCCTCTTGAACTCGATAAAAAACGGAGTCAAAAGGATTTGATTAACCCCCGCTCTCTGCCAGGCATGTGCTCAGCCTGAGCCAGACGTGTCCCTGCGCCCCAGCCAAGTCCTGCCCGGGGCTGATAATGGGCTCCCTGTGTCCCGGGAATCCTGGCAGCAACGTGGTATCCCCGAGTCTGAGCATCCACAGAGCTGGTTTGGGGGTGTCCAGGCCCCGGCACAGCCACACCACTGGGGCAGGATGCTCCAGAGCCAGCCTGTGCCACCGCTTGCTCCACACCATTTCCTTATGAATATCCCCTGCTCCAATCTATATTTTTTTCTGTGATCAGACACATTTGACTAAACTAATACATATGTATACACACCAGGACGCTCCCACCCAAACCAATGTAAATTACCTCTGACCAATACATTTTCCCAGGAAATCAATGCATTTTAACACTGGATAATATTTATGAAATTGAATTTTTTATTGAAGCTAATGCAATTCCCTTCTGTTTTATGCATTTTTATTAAACTAATGCATTTTAAATTAAACTGTTGTATATTAACTACAATGGCTGTTGGTACTTACAGTAAAATAATATATGTTTGCTGAAATCGATACGTATTCCAAACCCAGGAATTTCAGTTAACAAGGCTATATCAAATATAACAAATGCATGTAGCTACTTAATTTGATGCTTATATACACTGGCTGCTATATTTGTTTATTGGTAATGATTATTTTCAAAGGGAGAAAGCTCATTAAAGGTAGAAGGATGGATTCCTGTGCAGCTCAGAGCTGCAGTTCGAAGCTGGCAGTGGTGGTCACCCCATCCCCACTGAGGGGGGCCGTGGGGTGACCTGTGTGTCCCAGTGCTGGCTGGTGGCTGGAATTCATCTCCTCTGCCTCAGTCGGCTTCTGTGCCCTCTGTCCCATCCCTGCACCTCAGTTCCCACTGCGTGGAGCTTTGGGAAAATCCTTCCCTTGCTCATCACACCCCTTCACAGCCCCTTTCTGCTGGCAGCATCCTCAGGAGCTTTCGGAGGATTTTATCCCTCTCCCCTTCATGTTCAGAAGGTTTCCATGTTTAACAGCTTCTTCCAGACAGATTTAATTCAGCAGTTTTGCCTGATTCAGCTCTGTTTTCCATCAGAAGGATATATCACCGTGGTTGTGGCCAGGAGGCTTTGTCCAGCCCAGGGGGCTGGGGAAGAGCTGCCACCCACCAAACAGAGCCAGGGGGTAGGTGGCCTGAGGATGGGGACAAGAACAGATGATTCCCCATCCCTGAGCTCCTGACCTGTCCCAGGGCTGTGCCTTGCATTGGCAACAGGATGCAGCCCAAGGGAGAGGTCTCTGTCCTGGCCTCCTGAGCCACAGCACTGACAGGGAAAGCCATAAATAGCAGCGTTATCCGCTGAGCGCACGCGAACAGAGTCGAGATAATTTGGGCAAAGCAATAAAAGAGGAAAATTAATTAAAAAGCATGTGCTAATTGTAGGGAGCATGTGCCTGGAAAGAAGTAGCCGTGGCAGAAAGGC